TTGATCCCCACTCCCCGCCCCCATAAGGCTTGCTGCTCAGCGGGAAGCCTGCTTCTCCCTCTACTACTCTCCCTGCTGTGATCCCTCTCTCTTGCTCTCTCTCTCTATCTCTCGCTCTGTCAGATAAATAAATAAATAAATAAATAAATAAATAAATAAATGGAAATGTTCCACCATGACAACAAGGAAATGAAGTCTGAGTACAGCGCTATCCTTGGGGCCATCCAGCATCCAGGACACAGCACAGGGGAGTGGGGCTGCTTCACTGTCCCACCCACAGGCCCCAGTCAAATCCAGTCTGGAAACCTCCTCCTACCCCAGCCTTGGTCCTCTCTGGGTCCTGGGTACCCCTCCAGCTTCCTTCCTTTTCATGGTCTTTCTCACATTTAAGATTTTTTTTAAAGATTTTATTTATTTATTTGACAGACAGAGATCACAAGTAGGCAGAGAAGCAGGCAGAGAGAGAGAGAGAGAGAGAGGAAGGGAAGCAGGCTCCTTGCTGAGCAGAAAGCCTGATGCGGGGCTGACCCAGGACCCTGGGATCATGACCTGAGCCAAAGGCAGAGGCTTTAACCCACTGAACCACCCAGGCGCCCCTACACATGTAAGATCTTTCTCCCCCTATAGGGATTCCCCCGGAGCCCACACACTCTCCCCGGGTCCCTCCTTCCTCAAAGCTCCAAAAAACAACTGTTTTAGGAGAGAAGAGCGAGGAAGGAAAGAAGTGAAGAAAGATTGATGGGAAAGGGAGAAAGGCGAAGGGACAGGAGAAGGGAGGAGAGAAGAGGGGAGGAGGGGAAAGAAGGAGGGAGGAGGGGGAAGAAGGCGGAGGGGAAAAGGAGGAGGGAGGAATAAAGGAGGGAGGACGGAGGAAGGATAGAGTGAAAGACAGGGAGAAAAGAGAGCAAAGGAGGTACCCAAAACCAGACCAAGATCACTCCTTCTTTTTCAGATCGATAGGTTTCTATCATTCTTCCCACCAGGTTCTACTTTAGGGACCACAGAGAAGCAAATTGCTTCAGAAATCCAGTTCACTTTACTTCTTCATAGAAAACGCCTAAATCAGAAATCAGAAAAAGCCTACTTGTTTTATGATGTTTTCAAGGGTGTGGACACAGAGGAGGAAAAAATCATCTTGGTTTCCTGCCCCCCCCCTTTTTAAGGTCTTTGCAGTTTCCTGTTAATTTAATACCTGAACCTTTGCCATGTAAATAACACAGGTAAAGATAAAACGTACCGGCCTGGACTCTGACCTTTGCTTAATACCCACCCCCTCTCTGATTCATCCCCCCATCCCATCACTGGGAGGTTTGGAATTGTTACCTGGAAATTTCAAGCCGGAGAATAAATAGCTCAGAATAAATAGCTCGAGGCAGAGCGTGTTGGTTTTATTTATTTTTATTATTATATTATTTTAATTAGAGAGAGAGAAAGAGTGAGCACAAGCAGGGGGAGCTGCAGGCAAGGAGCCAGGATGTGGGACTCAATCCAGGACCTTTGGAACATGACCTGAGAGGAAGGCAAACGGGCTGAGCCATCCAGGTGTCCCACGTGTTGGTTTTAGAAAAGTCTGTGTCCAAAACTCAGACCAGTTCTCTGGCCAGCTGCTGTGTCTTCCTTTCTCCCTCAAAGCTATAACCGAGGGGCGCCTGGGTGGCTCAGTGGGTTAAAGCCTCTGCCTTCGGCTCAGGTCATGATCCCAGGGTCCTGGGATCGAGCCCCGCATGGGATCGGGAGCCTGCTTCCTCCTCTCTTTCTCTGCCTACTTCTCTGCCTACCTGTGATCTCTGTCAGATAAATAAATAAAATCTTAAAAAAAAAAAAAAAGCTGTAACTTAGATGGGGTCAATTCCCTTTCCATTCACTTGGGAGGACGGGTCCCCCCCACCTCCCACCTCTGTCACCTCTGCATCTTTTATGTACCCACGCTCTGCTCTGCTGGTCCTGCACTGCCCCATTTACTTAGACAAGAGTGATTTAAACAAAAGTGACTGAATTCCTCTTCCTCCTGTGGGGCACACCTGTATTTATTTCTTTTCTTGTTGGGAGTGCTTCCTCTAACAGTGTTTTCAGTGTTTTCCAAGAGGTGATCTATGTGAGACACCTTCTGAGCCCTTAAATACCTGATAATTTGGCCAGAAATCAAAATCGAGCCTCAAAGTTCTTTTTCTGTAATACTTTAAAAATATTATTCAACTATCATCTTAAATTCGGTGTTGCTGTTGAGAAATCTGAAGGCAATCTGATTTTTGTTCCTTCGTCAGTCCTCTGTGACCCAGGTACCTGGAATACAGATGTGATGGCTGGCATTTTCACTGTCAGTTTGGATTATGAAGATGAGATGGGGGAATAGTGAGCTGGATTGAGACCTGAGCCCTCAAAGAACTGGTAATACAAAGTTACCCTATCAGCCTTGAACGGTCCCCCTCCACACTTCTACAAAAGGGAAAATAAACTTTCATTGTGTTTAGAGTCTGCGTTATTAGTAGCTATTATTTGGAATCTGTGTTATTAATATCTAAAATGAATATTCATGTATTGTGTAAATCTGCTTCATCTTAAACTTTCCAGATTTCTGATTAGTTTTCCCAGTGATTGATGTTTTCCTGGTTATCAGCTACCTTGAAAGAGGTTAAAGCCTAAATTCTACCTTGTTTCCTCTTGGGAAGCTCAAAGAAGCGGGGAGGGGTGGTAAAGACAGGGCAACTCCCTGTGCTATTACAATGTAAATTGGGCTACCCCCTCAGGGTGCCTCTGACCCCCCCAAAACTTACCAGGCACCTTTCTCAGGGAACTTCTTGGCACTCTCTCCCGACCACTACTCTTTTTGTGAGCTAGGTCATGTGGGTGGAATGCCCTGACCCAGGCAGTGGGAAGAAGGGCCAGGACTGCTACTAGCTGCCAGGTCTGATCGTTGTTCTGTGCTTCTAACCCCAGCCTAATGTTACCATTCCCAGCTAGTGCAACTATTTTCTGCCTCAAAGCACCATGGCAATGACTGCGATAAGTCTGGGGTTGGGGCTGGGGCTGGGCAATGATCTATCCAAGCCAATGTGGGCAAAGAGAAGCACACATTCCTTACAAGACATCCACTCAACCTATCCCCTTCTATAGCACAGCCCTCACATGGGAGGGGCTGCTGTTTCCTTCCCACACTCCAGGACCAAACCACCTGCTACCTCCCAGAATGTAGGATGGGGAGGGCAGGTTCTCGGGGGAGGGGGGGTTACATTCCTTTCTTAATCCTCACCAAAATCTCTCTTGCATCTGTGGTATCTTCAGGATTGTACCCACAGGAAGGGGCCAGCATCTCAAGTACATGACCATTTTGTCAGCCATGCATTACTTTTCTCATAATACCCATCACCAGTTGAAGCTGTTATTTATGTGTTTGTTTTTCTCTCTCTCTCCCAGCCCTCCCTAAAGCAGCCCCTCCATGAAGGCAGGATTTTGGCCTGTTCCCAGCTGTGTCCTCAGCACTGGGCAGTACCTGGCAGGGATGTTCAATAAAGACAAGTGGGACCTGGTGTTAGAACCCAACACTGATCCTGGCTCAGGGTTTCTTGCTCCAAATCTGGGGCTTTTCCCACCTAATCCCATGGATCTCTGCCCTGAGCAAAGACCATACATAGAGGGAAAAGGTTTATATTAAGTAGACTCACAACAAAGATATAGGGTCCTTACTCCAGACATTGGCTAAAACAGCTGCTGGATAATTAGACTTAGAGGTGCTGTGTGTACATCTTCCAATCCCCACTGCTTGCACCCAGTAGGTGCTCAAGAAAAGGTGTGTTTTATTGAATGGACATATAAATTCTCCAGGAGGACATAATTCATTATAATTAGATGGGACCGGAAATAGGGTTACTGAAGAGCAGATTGGGGGTTATATGGAGAAGGAGAGAGCTGAGCATGAACAAGCTCTTGATCGAAAAGGGTCTTTGGTCTATACAGTGTGACAAGGCAAAAGTAAAGAACTTTGCCCAGCACTGTCCAATGCCACAGGCATGAACTGCACACAGCTATTTTCGTTTAATTAACATTAACTCACATGTAAAAGTCAGCTCCTCAGTTGCAGTAGCCAGATTTCAAGTAATAATAGTCACATGGGGCTTTGCAGCTACTGCACTGGACAGTGTAGATAATACAAAACATTGTCATCATCAAAGAATGTTCCATCGGATGAAGCTGACCTAGACCCTTAGAATTAAAGGAAACATATTTCTGCTTCTAACCTGGCCTACAGACATCCTCTCTACATCACCTATATCACCACTCCCTACACCACCACTCCCCCCACCCCCATTCCTGCCCAGATCTGAGCACCATCAGTGCCCACATCTGCCTTCCTAGGTTTTCTGGTCTACGGGGAGTAATGCTGTCTCTTTCCTTCGTTTTCACCCCCCAGTGCCGAGGGTAATAAGTATTTGTTGAAATAATGAGCCCTCGATTAGCTTATGTTAAATGCTGAGGCCCAAAAGGTGAATTAAGTGACAGAACAGAAGAGATCCCTGCTTCCCCTCTTTTCTCACCTCCCTACTCCCTTCTCTGCATTCCCTTTTCTGGCGCCCCCCACCAACACCCCAAAGCAGTACGTTAGAGGCAGTGCCCCCCCCACAGAAGTTCCGGTCCCCAACCTACACGGACTCCAAGGAGGTCTGTGTTCCGCTTCTCAAACCGATCTAACTTGTTCACATGATAATTTTCTGTCTTACTTCTCCGTTGGCTGCCCCGCACTTTAGTAGGTACTCAACAAGTGTCTGTCGAACGGTTGGAGGAACCGGTGCACGGATGGATGGATAGACGGATGGACGGCTCCGTGTCCCCGCGTCTGCCACACGGACTGCGGGAGAAGCCACCCTCAGCGCGCTTACGGGGAAAGCCCCAGGCCCCCGCCCAAGGGCCCTCTGGAGCGCGGAAAGCTCGGCCCGCGGGCCGGGAGTCGGGTGGGGCTTGGCCCTTGGGGGTGTGTCCTCCCGGGCCCCGGCGCCCGCGGCCGGAGAGGCTCGCAGCCACCGCTGCAGGGCCCGGGCGGCCGTAGAGGACGCGCGGCGACGAGTATGGAGCGCGAGCTGGAGGAGCTGGTGGCGCGGCCTGCGCGCCCGGCAGAGCCGCCCTTCCAGGCGCTGGTGGAGGCGGCGGGCGGCCGCGGGCAGGTGCTGCTGGTGGGCGAGCTGTGGGAGCGCGAGCAGAGCCGAGCGCTGCTGCGGGACTTCGCCCGGGCAGTGTTCCCGCCCGAGCAAGCGGCGGGCAAGCCGGGCAGCGCGGGGGCTGGCACACCAGGGGCCGGGGCACCGGAGTCGCAGAGGGCGCCCGGGCCGGCGGGGGCGCGCGCCATCCGCTCGCCGCTCGTCTTCGTGCTGTGCCGCGCGTCCTCGCTGACCGCCCGGGAGCCGCGGCGCCGCCTGCGGGAGATGCTGCGGGACGTGCGCGGCCGCCGGCGGGCAGGGGCGGCGCTGGTCGGGGTGCTGGTGGCTGAGGCCGGGCCCGAGGACACGGTGGCGCCGGAGTTGCGGCTCCTGGAAGCGCTGCTGCGCACAGTGTTCGGCCGCCAGGCTGGGGGCCCAGTGCAGGCGGCCGCCTATTGCCCCGGCCACCCGGCCTCCAGCGTGGCAGTCCAGGCGGCCGCCTGCAGGGCGCTACAAGCAGCCGGGTCCTCAAGACCAGGTGAGACTACAGGCCCCGGGGCGGGGGGGCGCGGGCGGTGGGCGGCCTGGGGGTGGGGGGAGGCCCCGAAGTTGGAACTCTTTAGACCAGCTTCTCTTCATGGGCACCACAGTAAACTGAGGCCCAGAGAGGGGAGGTGCCCTGCACTAGGCCTTCCAGCTACCGTGGATTAGGCCCTGGACCCGAGGTCCAGTCTGTTCCGGAAGGATCCAGAGAGCCTAGAGGACGCAAGGGCTTGGGAAAGCCGAGCAGACCAGCTCAAGGCAGGGAAGTTGGTGGAGAGAGGGTTGGATTGGGCTGGGTGCTGGGGGGAGGGAGAGGAGGTGAGAAAGCATCAGGAGGCCCAAGTTCCAAGGTGGGAAGGGGAATAGAACTGGGACCTGGGAGCTGGCCGTGGCAGGAGCTTCCAGGACCCTGTGCAGCTAGGGATGCGGTGGGGGAGGCTTAGCGTGGATGCCCCACCGGCTCACAGGAATAGGTGCCAAGGCTCTGAGTGTGGGGAAAGGGTGAGAGGGACTGCGGGCCCAGAATTTTCTAATCCCACTCTGGGTGTGCACCCACTGCTGCGTTTCTCTCCACATTCTCCTGAAGCGTGGAAAGGGCAGTGAGGGCACCCAGCCTGGGTAACTAGTGCCATCAGCAGAAGTGTGAGAAATCTCTTCCACCCTGGTACCGATCGGAAGGTTTTACAAGAGCTTTTCCGGGTCTCAGGATTAAAATACTGACACTAAGTACAGCTGGATCTGGCAAAGCTGAGAGAGGCAGGATTGTCCTTTGCGCTCCCAGATCCCTTCCTGCCCTCACCGTCCCTGCACTTGCTGTCATCCCAAGACCTTAAGCCTTCCATTCTTGCTAAAGTGGTAACGAACTCAGAGACTGTGTTCTGCTTCTCTGGGCATCGGTGTGATAACCAGAAACTGGGAGATGCCAGGCTTGCGGGGGTGGGGGGGGGTGCTTTTCCAGCAAGGAGATCTGGTACCTCTGATGTCCCAAATGTCCCAGATGTACCAGCTAGCTTGGCTTGCCTGAGTGAAAGCCATGCATCTCAGCCTTAGGCTCTGCCCCAGCCTCACTCCCCCGACCCCCACACCTAGTGCCTACAACCCCTTTCTGTTGAATCGGTGATAGTCAGCTAAATTTGAAACTCTATAACAGTATTCTGAAAGACATGAAAAGTCCTGAGGTGAATTGTTATTGTGATTGTCACTGCCAGTCCTTTCACAGATCTGGCCCCACAGGGGAAAGGAAGGAATTTACACAAACAGATTTTCTGCTCCCAATGAGCTGGTATCTAGAAAATTCTGAGTTCTTAGTCTCTTAGCCCTCTCCCATTCTCCAGGAACAACTTTTAATTCCCCAGAGCCAAGTGTGTTCTGGCCTCCTCTAAGTTTTTGTACATCTTAAAGTTGCCTTGAATGAAAACCCATTTTTCCCGTCCTCCTCTTCACCTGACCAGTCCCATTTCATCATTTGGGACCAGACTTCCTCCTCCAGGAAGGCTTCCCTGACCCTCCCCACTCCCACTTGTAAATTTGCAAGTGAAATCTCAGAACTCTTAAGCACCGGATTTTGTCACTTGGTGAGTTTAACCAACCTTATATCCCCACTTCCCAACACCTTGCCTGGCATGCAGAATCCTTGCCTCCTTTTAAATATTATCACTTAAGAAATCTTAACACCTTGCAAAGGAATCATTCTTTACTGTTTAAACTTGTTTCTACTTTTATAGAAATATCCTGAACAACATGAAACCTTTCACTGATGACCAAAATTGATGAGTATAGGTATAACTCACTGTCCACTATTCTCTTCGGGGCTTTTTCAGTGGACAACGCCATGGATTGCTAACACGAAGCAGTCCTGTTGCTAAGATTTTGAGAGCAACTGCATCTGGCTTTTTTAAGTTTTCCAATCTCTTTCCTCACTGCCTGATGGCTATTCTTATACTTTTAGGTTGCCCGGTCTTGGCAATGACCTCTTACCTAGTTTATGCTTAATCTAGCTGAGGACCCTGATCCTAAACCAGTGAAGGACCCAGTCTTATTAGAAGTGGGTACAAATTCAGAGTAAATAGGTCCTGCATGAGGATTTATAAACAGGATGTTCTATGTTCCAGTTGGCCATTTTCCTGAGAGTGGGGGCTCCCAGGTGCTGAGGTGTTTATTATAATAAGGAAACTAGACTTTTGAGCATTGCCAATCAATTAGATGAAAATGGTAGCTTATAGTTTTAAGTATGAAAGTTTCTACTATGTTGAAAACTTAAAAAAAAAAAAGGAAACTAGACTCGACATGTAATTGATTTAGGGCGCCTGGGTGGCTCAGTTTGTTGGGCGACTGCCTTCTGCTCGAGTCATGATTCTGGAGTCCCAGAATCGGGTCCCACATTAGGCTCCCTGCTTGGCGGGGAGTCTGCTTCTCCCTCTGACCCTTCCCCCTCTTGTGTTTTTTCTCTCTCTCTCTCCCTCTCTCAAATAAATAAATAAAATATTTTTAAAAATGTAATTGATTTATAGTAGTTATAAAAAACGATTAAGTCTATTCCCATTAAGAGATAGTTTGAACCAAAACTCAAGGGGAAATTTCTGCTCTTTGAGTATTTTCTTTGGTGCTGTGTCATTGTTATTAGTTTCATGGCACTTTTTTGGGGGGTCAATTTTGCAAATACAAAAACTCCACCCCACTTAGCAAAGCAGAATCTTTTTTTAAAAAATTTTAAAGATTTTATTTATTTATTTGAGAGAGAAAAAGAGAGAGCACAAGCGAGGGGAGAAGCAGAGGGAGAAGCAGACTCCCTGCCTAGCAGGGAGCCTGACATGGGGCTCAATTCCAGGACCCTGAGACCATGACTTGAGCCAAAGCAGATGCTTAACCAGCGGAGCTGCCCAGGAGCCCCCCAGAATCTTTGTTTTTTTAATCAAACAGTTGAAACTAGGGCAGTTGATAATTGAAGCACTTGGTTTGCTGAACAGAAAAATCTCTCAAACGTGCTTACCTACTGCGTCTGGGACCTTGTGTTCTTTCTGGCAGCAGGACCCTGGGAGAGACCGAGCCTCCCAGCACTGCTGGCATGCTTTTCCTGGGGTCCCTGGAGCCGGGGGAAGGATCCAGATGCCACCTCCCCCAGTGACCCAGCTCAGGGTGAGTGTGCTGCCTTCCTGACCTTCTGGACCCTGCCGGCCAGGTGCTTGGGATTATGGGGTGGGTCCTGTGCACACAGGGACCTAAGGGATAGGATTGACCGACATCCACGGAGCACTTGCCATGTGCGGGCATGGAGGTGAGTGATGTGAGGATGTGAGGTGTTCCTGCCGAGGGCCACAGGCACACTGACCCCCCCAGTAGGGCGCTAGCCCCATGGGTCTCCCACTAATGAATGCATCGGTGTGGTCAGGGCAGGTATCTGCCCCGTGCATGGTGGGGTGCTTGGAGCCAATGCATTTAACCTACCCCTGAGGCTCCAGAACACACGACTTTGGAGCCAGGGATTGGAGATTGTCCTAGGCAGCAAGGGGGAAACGTGGGAGAGGAAGCAGTGTGAATGAAGGCCTGCGGGCATGATGTCATGCTCAGAAAAGGCGCCCCCATTGGGAGTGCCAGGGGGTAAGGACGAGGAGACTGGGAGGGCTGAGGCTGAGGAGGAGAGCTGGGACCAAATCGGGACTCTGGACCCAAGTGTCCCACGAATAGTGAGCTGCCGGCCATTTCTGAGCAGGGCTGTCCAGATTAGGGGCATTTTGGAGAGGTGACAAGACTGTGAGGCAGGGCAAGACTAGAGGTAGAGCCAATTAGGAGGGGACTGTCTAGTCCCAGGAGGGACAAGGAGCAGCCCGGACCCAACACTGGGAGTTTGGGAAGGGAGAGGAAGGAACTCAGCCTGAAGCCTTTTCTAGTGTAGGCTTCTCAAGCCACTAAAGAGAGAAGGGAGGAAAGACAGTTCTTTGGAGTCCCTAGGAGCACCCAGTGGGCATTGAGGCTGTTGTGAGAGCTCTAAAGTACTGGGGGAGTACATTGTAACCACCTAAATGTACGTGACCCACGGCCCCAGCGTGTACTGAACAGCACAGCTCTGTTACAGAAGCAACGGGCAGTGTTTTAAAACAAACTTTTCTTGTGTCCCTTATGTTTAAAAAAATTACCAGGCGAGGTGTCAGCCTTCCCTTGGCACGTACGAAGTGAGCACAGACTCAGCGGCTTACAACAACACCCGTTAATTCCTCACAATTTCCATGGGTCAGGAGTCTCACAAAGCCGATCAGAGTGTCGCCCGGGCTGCATTCCTTTCTGGAGCCTGAGGCCTTCATGCTGCCGTGGGTGTGAGCAGAATTCCCTTCTCCACTGCCTTCTTAGTGGCCATCAGCTGGGGCTCTTCTCAGCCGACAGCCATCTTGCCACACGTCTCTCAACACAGCAGCTCCTCCTTCAAGAAGCAGGAGACTTTCTGGTTTCCGATGATGTCACTCAATCACAGGGGGAACCGTTCTGTTGTCCTATATGGGACCCTAATCAAGGGAGTGACGATCCCATCCTACTGACAGATGCCACCGGCAGTGGAAGGAAGCGATTATGCAGGATGGGTACACCGAGTGGTGGAAATCTTAAGGGTCATCTTAGAATTCTGCCTATCACGGGGGAAAGCTCAAAAAATTTGAGAAAGGAAAACAAGTATGAAAATCATTTGCTGAATCCCGTCACTCAAAAGTAACTATCAGCTGTATTTTGACATAGACCATTCTGTTCATCTACCTATCTATGTACCTCCTTGTGCTGTTTAAATTGTAATAAATATGCTTCTATATAATACATGAATTATCAGCCAAATGCATCAGGTATTCAAAGCATTCCGTTGCAAAAATGTTAACTTCAGTCTCTCCATCGTCAGTGTGGATATTTCTGGAAACCAAAGGGAAAAAATAATAAACCAAAGGAATCAGAAACAATTTTACATAAATCTTGGATAACTCCCCTCTCTGTAGGATGTAACAATTTCTTTAAAATTTTATTTATTTAAATAATCTCTACACCCCCCATGAGGCTCAAACCCATGACCCTAAGATCAGGAGTTGTGTGCGCGGAATGCCTGGGTGTCTCAGTAAGTTAAGTGTCTGCCTTCTGGGGCTCAGATCCCATGATCAAGTCCAGTATCAAGCCCCTTGTTTAACAGGGAGCCTGCCTCTCCCTCTGCCTGCTGCACCCCCTTGCTTCTGCTCCCCCATCAACAAATAAATAAATAAGATCTTAAAAAAAAAAATAAAGTTGCATGCTCTTAGGACTGGGCCAACCAGGCATCCCTATAGCATATAACAAATTAATCTCAAGTAGAAGTGAATGTATTAAAATGAAAATTGCATTCATGGACTATGTGTATGCATTTATAACTTACACAGTAAATATGGAATTAGACAGACATTCATACATACCGTTTTGGAATCTGCTTTCTTCACAGCAACATATTGTCAGTGTGCAATATTCCACAGCAGTAATTACCTAACAGTAACATCTTGTATCTTTCAGGGGAATGGTGGGTAATTGCAGATTCACATGCGGTTGTAAGAAATCATACAAAAAGAGATCCTGTGTACACTTGGCCCAGTTTCCCACACTGGTAGCATCTTGCAAAACTATAGGATGATATCACAACTGGGATATTGACATTGAAATAATCCACAGATCTTATTAAGAGTCCCTCAGTGTTACTTGTGTGTGTGTGTGTGTGTGTGTGTGTGTGTAGTTCTATGGAATTTTATGCATCTTTTTTTAAAGATTTTATTTATTTGAGCAAGAGACTGCATGAGCAGGAGCTCGGGACAGAGGGAGAAGCAGACTCTGTGCTCAATGGGGATGATGCATCATTTTTAATGCCAGAATTTCATCATATGGGTGAGCCATGGTGAACTCAACCAGGACATCACGTTAGGTTAGGATGCTTTTGGCTGCAGGGAGAGAAACCATGGCTCAAGCTGGCATAGCAAGGGCATTCAGTATCTCACCTAAACGATAGTCTAGAGGTAGAGTCAGCTTCAGAGCTGGTCGATTCCGGGGCCCAGTGACCCCACTGAGGACCTAGGTCCTTTCCTTCTCTCTGCTGAGCCACCCTCCATGTCATTTCATCCCAAGATGGTAGTTCCACTAATTATTCCTAATTATTTCCTTAGAATAAAATCCTAGAAGTGGAATTGCTGGGTCAAAGGGTATGTACATTTTTAAGGGTCTCAATACGTATTTTACTGTGGTTTTTAAGTAGATAGTACTGGGGCCGACTTCCTCCCTTTCACTCCTAGCTTACTCACTCCTAAACTTGACCTTCTGATTGGGTGATTCCGTCTCTTGTGTTCCAGATCACCTCCAGGACACTGAGGAGGAGCTGGCCCTGACAGCCATATGTCCCAACGGAGACTGTGAGGACCCCAGGAAGGGGTCGAGAGCCTGTGACGGACTTGTCCCTGCTCCTGCTGACCCCGCTGTAGACTCAAGATGAAGGCTGGACCACTGGGCCACCCGCACTCTTAACCTGCACACTGGGGACTGGCTCCTTCTCACTGAGCCCCCTTGCTTCCGTGTTGACCTTGGAATGGTGGTAACTACAAAGGCCCCACCTGTCGGTGGGGGGCTGCTGCATTGAACCAGCTAGGAAAACTTAGTTTCCTGGAACCTGCCCACCCCCACCTCACATTTGCTCACTCCCCGATCACAGTAAGGTTATCTGGCCTTTCCGTACCTCAGTTTTTCTATGCCATTGGGACAGGTGGCTGTCTACCTTGAGGCTCTGTGGTGCTGTGGCAGCCCATGGTGTGTTTGCATGAAAATCCATCATTTCAAGTGCAACTGGAAAGAACTCTGGAATGGAAGGCATCAGATCGGGAATGGGGCAGGGTTGGCCTTGGACATGTCACTGAACCTTTGGGGTTTCTGTTTCTCAAACACATGACGAGGCTCTGAGCCTAGGGGCTCTCAACCAAGAACCAGGCTGCCGTTCCAGGCAGCACTGGAAAGGTGTGTGTTTGAGTGTGAGAGTGAGTGAGTGAGTGAGTGTGTGTGTGTGTGTGTTGTGCAGGGGTTACTGTGACTATGCGGTACCCCGGCACTTAGTGAGTTTCTCACGACCTACGGTACAATCTCTAACAGTAAAGATTTGTTCCACCAAAATTGCCCATCATGGCTCCTTTGAGAAACTGAGTGAGCCAGTCCCTTCTCCCTGTGAAATTCTAAGAGTACCCCGCCCCCAGAAGAGAGGGTTGGGCTTCCTGAGACCTTGGCTCCCAGAGCAAAGCCAACATAAAGATTGCACTGCTGCCCTGGGGGCCTGTTGGGTCAGAGCAAAGACAGCCACCTGCTTTGCATGCCCTCTTTCTTCCTCCTGTTGATGTTGACTTTCTGTGCCAAATCCTTTGAGAATAAGGATGCTGGGAACTGCCCATGACACCACACAAGAAAGATAGGAGTGTGCATTACAAGGACATGGGACTTTCTCTCCATTTCAGGCCCTTGTCCAAGGTCAAAGCAGACCCAGCCCAGAGGTGCCAAGTTCCTGAATCCCTTTTTTCTCTGTTTACGAGTCAGACAGGGTTGATGATGATGTTCCCTTCAAAGCCAGGAAAGCCATCTGTTCACTTGTAGAAGGAACTCTGCATTACCTCCCTTGCCTTCCTCACCTGCCCCTGGAGAAATGCAGTCTTTGGAATGGGAAAGAGCAGCTCCTGATTTGCCCTGGTAGGAAGCACTGTCTAAGGGAAGCAGCTAAATTCATTCATTTGTGCATGATTTGCTCTGCAGACATACAGTGGAGCTATCTGCCCAGGGTTCTACAAGGTTCTGCATACCTTCCAGTAGTTACTTTGGCTTTCATGTCTGGTACCAAAATGTGGAATTGGAAACCTGTGGCTGAGGGGCTGTGTGATATCAAGGTGGGGTCCCTCCTGGCTCTAGGCCTCAATTTATTCTTCATACTAAGCAGCCTAATTCTATCCCTTCTCTGCCTCATGGGAATAGCTTGAGGGCAGGCGGGGTGACCTCTTATTTGGGGCTGGTTAGCAGCAGGTGTCATTTTAATAATACAAAGCTGTCTCACCAATACGTAGACCCAGCTGACCTCCTTCTACACAAGAATGAACTCAATGGATTACTGTAGATTTTGTTTTGAAATGGGGAGACTGGTATTTTCAAAGCTGCTCTATTTTTCTATTTCTCTGATAATGTCTTTGCAATAATTGGGTTCAAGTTGTATTATTTGGTTGGTGGGGGGAGCCTTTATTAAGGTGGGAAATTACCTAAGGCAGAAGTTACAAGGCACAGCCTCTGCTGTGTTTAAAAGCCTTTTGTATTTGTTGCCAATATTGGAAACTTGAGAAATTGCACATAAAAAATGTAGCTTGCTGGGTAGAGGACAGGGCATGCCATCACATCCAGTTCGCTGCAACCCCCCTCCCATGGGTAAAGCCCCCCTCCCTCCCATCTAATCTGCCTCTCTACTTCACTCGTACGTGCCACCTGCCTGGTCCTGGTGAACATTCAAGTTCGCATACCTGTGGGGTAAAGAGTGGTCTACGTATAACTTTTTCATTATTTTCAGTATCTCTGGGGACTAGCTGAAGACAGAAGGTCTTTCCCGAGGTTCGTGTTCTACTTCCCAACCGGGAAACACCGGACTGGACTGAGAGCCTTCAGGGCCCACGTTGGGTTTCTCAACATGTGGCTACACATCATCTTTTTAGGAATAATCTAGTTGGTATTTTTCTAGCAGACACAAGAGTTAGGTGCTGGAAGGGATGACCTTGGTGGTAGGTCTCTTCCCTGAGGACTCTTACAAGGCCCGAAGATTGCGGTGGGCCTGTCTGGGAATAGAGGCCCCAAATGGGGTCAGTGGTACTGGGAGCCATTGGCAGGGGTCTCCAGCCAAGTCACACTCTGGGCTGGTGGGTATTAATCTTTTTAATATGGGAGTAGTTGTGCTGCTTCTGACTTGAATCAATAATTCTTTCTATCTAATAAAACCAAACAGTACCTCATGGCTATCTAATCAAAATCAGAATGGATCTTCGCATTTGTTCTCAAAGCATTGCTCACAGGGGCCCATGGGAGCAGGGAGCCTGGGCAAAAGGTGGGAACCTCTGGAATAGTTTGGCCTGAAAGACTTCCAGTCCTGCCCTGGGGAAACATCTCTACAACCCTGTCAGCTGGAATTGGAAAAACATGTAGCCGGAAAGTAAATGTTTGAAAAGAGATGGTTTTCAAAGATAGCATTTTGCTTGGGTCTCACCCAAATGTGTGCGTTCGTTTGCACCTACGAGCGTGTTTAACGAGGCAAGATGGCCTTGCCTCAGCCCCGGAGAGCCCTGTATAATATTTGTGTCACAGTTTCTCTCCTCTCGAAGTATTTGTCTCCAAGACTTACCATGCAAGAGGAGTCCTTCAGTCGTCAAACCAAGAACAAGGCAAACCTGCAAAGGGGCCGGGATCCAAGGCCCCCAAACACCCGTGTGTTCTCAACAAGCCCCCCTCTTATCCCAGCCAGAGAACCCAGGACTCAAGCTCACGGGAAAAGGTGACGACAGCCATGTTAACCTGATAGTCTATACGCTTCAAAGTGTAACAGCTCCTCACTGTGGGGCTGGCTCCCCGAGCTTGTGAGGCCTGCACTTTGTCCTGTTTGGACGGCAAACATAAACAGCACAGTGGGGAGAGAGTCTTTTGTTTCATACCCGAGGGCTGCACAACCCCCTTCTGACCCGGTCTTGTGTGTTAGTGGATCAAGGATTGAGACAGGCTGTCGCTTGTGTAATCTTTGAGTTCAAAGGAAGTGAGGCGCAAGGCAGGGTGGCTGACCAGCATTGTACACGAATTCTTCAGATGCCTTTGCCCCCCAAGCCAGAGCCCTTGGGTTATGTTATACTTGGGGCTGCTGAACTGGGAGCAGAAACAGAGGCTACCCACGGGGATATGCCCTGGTTCACAGAGATCCCAAAGGGAGCAAGGTGTGGAATGGCTCAGGTCCAGAGTTGGCCCAGGCCCTGGGGCCTCTGCGGGTCCAGGGCTTTGGCAAATCCCTGTCTGACTTCCTCCCTGAGCTCCCTGAGCTCCCCGAGCTCCCCAGCCAGGGCTCCTGTTGCAAGGGCAGACCCACACCTGACTGGTGAAATTCAGAGACCCTCAGGTAGGATTTCACATGGTAAGTCTTAAGTCAGGCTGGTTTTTGTCCTGTTCTGCCCTTGTGAAGTCGTTAGGCTCTAAGTCCTTGTGACCAAGCCCTCATTCTGAGTCCTGATTACACACACTGGGTCTTGCTGCCCTGTGTTTCTTCTTTCCCTCACTGGTTAATGAGGGTTTCTCAGATCGTTACCCCAACTCTGGGCTACCCTAACCAACCACCTGCCATCCCAGGGATCTTGCCCACTCTAGAACCCCTAGCTGCCAGGGCAGCCACTTTGAGCCCCTTGCTCCCTGGCAGAAGGGGGTCTCACCTTTAGCCTCTCTCCCTCAGTCTGGTTTGGTCCGGCCTGTGCTGGCACCAAGGAGCAGAGCCAGGCCTAAAAGGGAGGTCAGAGGGCACAAGACCTGGGGAGGTCTAGACCAGCCCCGCCTAAGAGAAATCTAACACCAGGACCATATGTAGGTTTAGATTTTTCTAGTAGCCACATGAGGATAAAAACTAAAACAGATGGAACTAATTTTAATAATATATTTTATTTAATAATATATTTTATTTAGCCCAGAATGTCCAAAATAGCATTATTTCCACTTAAATATAAAACATTTGTAATGACACAGTTTGCATCTTCGAAATCCTGTAAGGCTATTACACAACAGCTTGATTTAGACGCTAAATTTTTAAACCAAAATAACTTGATCTGTATTTAGATTTCATGAAATCGTACTTGAAAAAAGAGATTCACTCGCAAATTGTTCCAGATATACTTAAAAGTTTACCAATGACTAAATTGGGCATCAGTCTTTAAATTTTAATAAAATGAAATAAAATGGAATCTAAAAATCAGTTCCAGGATTTGTAATAGCTACGTTTCCAGTTCTTGGTTGCACCTGTTGCTAGGGGCTAGCCAGTGTGAAAGCAAGTCTAGAACAATGGAAACGTGCAGGATACTGGTCTTGGGGTTCGGTGTGGCTCTTCCCGCCTCACCCCCAGACCCCTAGGAAGGGAAGGGCAGTGGCTTCCTGCATCAGCTTGTCAGTTTTCCTGTCGCCCAGGATAGGAGCTGTCCTCCCAGAGTCCGCCCCCCCGGGGGGAAGAGAGTTCAGTGTCTCAGATGGCTTTGCGGGTCTTTTTGTGCCTCAGTCCACCCAGGGCCCCATCCAGGTGTTTTCCTCCCATCAAGCACCCTCCCCCCACCGGAAGTCCGTCTTACACTGCTGCGTTTGCATTTCTGCTCCATGAACAAATGATTTCACTCTACTAGCATGTGGCATGCGTGGTGTAACTAGAGCATCCACCAGCCTCGGGGCCTGGCCCTGTGACCTAAGATCTGAGGTCTATTCAGCGCTGCTCTACACCAAACCCTGACTAGAGCACCTCCCCTCACTTAGGGCCCTGCCAGGCAGGTGGGCCTGTCCGCTCCGCGCCTGGGGTTGGGTGACCACGTGGCCACAGCGCCGCTAAGTGGCAAAGCAGGGATTTGATCCCGTGTTTCCCGGCTCCGACGACGCCTGCCCTTATCACTGGTACCGACCAGTGAGCAGGAGGGAACAGCTCAAAAAGGCTGCAGCTCAAAAAGCAGTCAAGCCCGATTCTTGGCAGGAGGGAGCCCTCCTAATACCCCCGGGGCTGGGCATGGGGGTAGGGGAGCCGTGGAGGGCGGGATGTGGGTGGTCCCAGGGCGCTCTCCCAGCGCGGAATTCTCCGCCTTCTGGGGAG